GAAGACAATGAATAATTTATAGTTATATTTCAAAAACTAAGGTGTGCTTCATTAACTATTTGTTTAACAATATACTGAGRTCTGCCTTTTAACTYTGAGGTTAAGCTTTAAACAAGCASTTGAAGATGTCACAGCAAAAAGACGAAGAAYTMGMGCAAGACGTGATMACTCTTGARAAGTTTGCGTCCTACACCACCCTACATGGTTTCCAATTCACTACGCGTGGAAATCATCCCATTCGTCGTATGGTTTGGACTCTCCTTATCTTAACATTTCTTGGATGTTTTGTCGTAGAAGTRTATAGAAGTGCAGTTAAACTTAGTAAACATGGCATAACTTACAGTTATMATACTGAGTACRAAGAAAATTTGACWTTCCCAGCCGTTTCAATTTGTAATATTAATATGTTGAAGAAAAGAAAGATCTTGGGAAAAGATGCTCAAGCATTTTTAGACTCAATTAATGGCGTGATTCCTGAAATCAATAAAACTCGCTATGCAAATAAAACGTTTAATCTTGAGAAGGCAATAGTTGAGAATGGCCACCAATTGAAGGACATGCTTGTAATGTGCACTTGGAGCCTTCAGAAAAATTGCTCAGAGGACGACTTTACTATATTCTACTCCACAGAAGTAAGTACACCACTAAATATCAAACGATTTGCTTTTGAATGTTAACTTTTTCATTAATTTTGTGCGTTTTGAAAACATAGTCTTTTTGACTGCGTTCAAAACTCGGCGAAATGTTACCATCAACAAAACCYGTTTCTATGGTTACTTAATCAATAGATTCGAAGTCTGTTTTAAAATGCTTAAAAGCATTTCGTGATTTCTCTGTTTCTCTGAAACTAAAATAGGTTTTTTTTTCACATTTCAGCCAGTAAATGCGCGCATTATATTAAAGATATTTTATGAACAAAATTGTAAACTATACAGTAAAGAAAAAGAGACTTCCCTTTTTTGAAAAGATTTCATATCTCAGATCCTGTGACATTCACTGGAAAAAATCGCGCGCTTTAAAGGTTGTAAATTTGATGTAAATATGATGTAAGTGTCCAAAATTCTGTAAATTTGATGTAAATGATTTCCATTAAATTTACAGAATTTTGGACACTTACATCATATTTACATCAAATTTACAACCTTTAAAGCGTACAATTTTTTCCAGTGATT